ACCCAAGTGCCCCGAGGAGTGAATGTTGCCCTCAGCCCCGTAGGCAGTGCATCGGGACTGGGCCACGTGGCGGTTGGTGATCATATTTTCTTGCTCGTGACTATTGTAGGCAGAGGGTCACAGGCAAAGAAACAGTCCCTTTCCCCTGGACGCCGGTGTGTGGGTATGGTCCCTGGCTGGCTGCTGTCATCTTGCGGACTTGCGGCTGACAAGCTGAAGGCGGCAGACGGAAGCCTGGGAACCACCACCCTGGGAAAGCTTCTGAGCCTCCGAGAGGTCGTAGGTCCCTTAGCTGGTTACCTTTTCGAGCTGTTATTTGCAGCCAACGTATCCTGATTCTCCACCGCAAGGCCCAAGGGCCGGAAGGACAGCAGCCCCCAGCCGCCGCCGTTCCACCCTCTCCGGGGAAGCGCTCCGGCTGCCAGCTGTTTTGCCAGGCGACCTGCCTGCATCCTTCTAAATAACGCGCTCATGTCGCTACGCTCTTGTCTTATCCATAGAAAGGATGCTGGCTTTCGACCGTGGAAGTCGGAAACGAAGCATCTGCACACCCCTTCCCCTCCCTGCTCCCAATATAGTTTTATGACTTTTGATTAAATAAGTTCTGTGCTTACAATTCTTTCCTTATACAATTCTTTACCCGTTGGAGTTAAACATTTTTCCCCACCCCCTTTCCTTTGCATGGTTTTCCATGTGCCTATTATCAGTTCTCAGGCTCTCCAACAGTTATATTGTCCTATCAAAGTGATTTTTTCCTTCTTAAAACTTTGTCTTCTCTCTCCTCCCTCTCTTCCTACTTCTAAACCCACTTCCATTCCCTTCTTCCCCCATGCCAGGCAACAACTCTGGTAATTAATATACAGAATTGTTTGCATATTCCTGCAAAATGCATTTTTTATTTCAAACCTATATAAATGGCCTGCCCCACACATGCATTCTGCTTCTCACTGTTTTCTTTGGGCATCGTATTTTCACAACCAAGCCTTATGGCTAACGTGGACTCCTGTGGCGTGTCACTATCGCAGAATACTAGATCGTGTACATGCACATTTTTACCCCCACCTCCCACGCATGGATACCCAGGTTGTCTCCAGCCCCGTAACATCACGATGGCCAGAACGGACCTGTATGAAAACATCTGCGGGGTATCACCCCACGCTGCGCAACTGCCGGCAGAGGCCACACGGACATGCGCATTTTGTCTCCAGATTAGCTGCATCCATCTGTACACTCCCGTCAGCACTGCACCAAGGTTCCTACATGCCCACGTACCACCACCATTTGGTATCACTTAATTTTCTAATTTTTCTAATTCTAAAAAGAGTGGTTGTTTAAAATTTTCATTTTCTCTAATCACTAAGGAGTTTGACGATCTTCTCTTTCTTTTGAAATTTGCCTTTTCACATCCTTTGCTCATTTTTCCATTGGCATTTTCCCTTGATTTGTGGGAGTTCCTTCCTAGAGTCTACATTTAATCATTTGATTTCAAATCTTTCCTCACACTCTGTCATCTACCTACACATCTTTTGTGACCAGAAATATAACCAAATTTTTGTATTTGCCTTATACACATACTTTTGAGTTTAAGAAGTCATTTGCCATCTCTAGGTCAGAGAGATTCTCCAACACTTTCTTGAATTAAACTTGTTTTAAATCTTTTATCACTTGAGGAATCTAGTTTCACTTCTTCTATGTAATGAGCTAGTATCACCAGGATCACCGAATATAAAGCTCTCCCGCCTCTCCCATCGTGCCCTTCGTAACATACTGCGTTGCCATGTGCCCAGGTTCTGAGCTCTGCTCATCTGCACTGTTCTAAAGCTGTATTGGTTTCTACTACGATTTTGTGGAATGTCTTAACACCTGGTAGGGAAAATCCTCTTTTAATTTATTGATTTGTGATGAGAAACACTGATTTACCGTTCCTCTTATTTGTGCATTCATTGGTTGATTCTGGCATGTGTCCTGACCAGGGGATCGAACCCACAACCTTGGTACACCGGGATGATCTAACAACTGAGCGACCCAGCCTGGGCTCCCCTTTTCTAAGTTATTTGTGGACCTTATTCATCCATACAAATTTTAAAATAAGTTCAGGTTCCTCAAAAAATCCAGCTGGAACTTGGTTGGGATTGCTCTGGCTTTGCAGATTAAATTTAGGAAGTTCAGCCCGGCCAGAGTGGCTCGGTCGGTTGAGCGACATCCTGTGCACCGAAGTTGCGGGTTGGATTCCCAGTCAGGGCACACACCTGGATTGCGGTTCGACCCCCAGTAGGCACATACGGAAGGCAGCCGACCCGTGTTTCTCTCCCCCCCTTCCTCTAAGCATGTCCACAGGTGAGAGTTAAAATAAAAAACACAAACTTAGAATGTTTACTTTCATCAGAATTGTAGTTTTCTCCAAATAAATTTTGTACATTCTTAATTCCTTTACCCTTTTTAACTTTTGCTGCTATTGTGAAATGACTTTTTTTTATTATTATTCTCATAGGCTTACCTTATTTCTGGCAGCTCTGCTGAATCTCTTAATAGTTTAAAATAGTTTGTTGTTGATCGTTGGATCGACAATGATATATGACATACGTCATTTGCAAAGACTTTTCCCCTCTTCTCCAATTGTTACACATTTTAGTTCTTTCTTTCCTTACTGTATAAGCCAGAATCCATACTACTGTGATAGGCTTCCTCGTTGAGCCTTGGTCTTAAAGGGAATGTACATTAACATTTCTTCACTAATAACATTTACTATATACTTTTGGTATATAAATCTTAACCCAGGTTTTAAAATCACTCTATTGGTAGCTTGATGCTTATACTTTTCATAGACAAAATTTTACATTTTCCTGTATCAATCAAGATAGTCACACCTATTTTCCTTTTTGCCCACTTCTGATAGGTTTTCTGACGTAGAGCCATAGAATATTTCACCGAAATAAAACTTGCTTGGTTGTGGTTTTTATTTTTAGTACACCATTGGATTTGGTTAGTTGAAGTTTTTTTTTTTTTTAAATTAAATGTCTCTATTAATTTTAGAGAGGAAGAGGGAGGTAGATAGAAACATTAATGAGTCACTGATCGGCTGCCTCCTGCACACCCCCCACTGGGCATGTGCGCTAATGGGGAACTGAACCCCAATCTCCTGGATCATAGGTCGATGCTCAACTGCTGAGCCACACCTGCTGGGCTTAGCTGACATTTTCAATTGTGAATATATATTCATACACAAAATGGACCTTTTTTCTTCATTTTCATCTGGTTTTGGAATCAACATTACATTAGCCTTAAATTCCATTTTGTCAACAGTTAAGATTGCCACCCTGGCTTTTAGGTTCATAATTGGTGTATCTTTTTTTTGTAATAGCTTTATTCAGATATAATTCATATATCATAAACCCATCTATCTGAAGTGTACAATTCAGTGAATATTTAATATATTCAGAGTTGTGCAACCATATGTACAATTTTAGAATATTTTCATCACCCCCAAGTCCCATACCCTTTTCCAATATTTCCACCAACTTCCCTTTCCTCCTCCCTCACCTCCCAGCCCTAGGCAACCACGAATGTACATTCTTGCTTTATAGATCTATTCAGGACATTTGATGTAAATGGAACCACACGATATGTATTCTTTTGTGCTGTTTTTACTTAGCATGTTTCCAAGATTCATACAAGTTGTAGCATGTATTCATACTTTATTCCTTTTTATGGCTGAATAATATTCCATTGTATAGATACAACATATCTTACCTATTGGGGTTTTTTTTTAAATTTATCTTTTTTTAAATATATCTTTATTGATTTCAGAGAGAGGAAAGGAGAGAAACATCAATGATGAGACAGTCATTGATCAAGCCCACAACTGGGGCACAGCGCCCTGACCAGGAATCAAACCCCGATCGCCTGGATCCTAGGTTGATGCTCAACCGCTGAGCCACGCCTGGCCAGGCCATATCTTACCTATCTGTCAACTGATGGAACACTTGGGTTGTTTCCACCTTTTGGCAATGCTGTTAGGAACAGTCATGCACATGTTTTTGTGAGGCATATGTTTTCAATTCTGTTGGGCCTTTCCATCTGAAGAGTAAAGTTTTAGAATACCCATTATTACATTTTTATAATCCCTTCCCTCCCTTTAAAAAAACTTTTTAATTTTGTAAAACTGTTAGTCTGATATGAAATACCTATATTCATCTTCTGTGGTTTTTATATTTTCTTTCACTTTCTGTCTCTTTAAATTCTACTTTCAGAGATATTTCTTCACCTGCATCATCTTCCAACTCTATTAATTACTTTTTATTTTTAAGGATTTTTAAAAGCTCTACTGTTCTGGTATTTCTGTTGTTTTATAAATGCAATTTCTTCAAAAGTCTTTTTAATCAGCTTTTCCCATTTACAACCTACTCAGCATTAGCTCAGACCCTACATATCTTGAAAACATGGCTTCTCATTGTTATGTAGTACTCCATCAAAAGATCAAATATTTTAGCAGCATGAGGAATTATCAAATCTGTTTTCGATGTCTGGCCTAGAAGTAGTGGGAAGAATGAACTGGAAGAGACTAGAGACAGAGTCAGTAATTTAGGCGAGAAAGGAAAGTTTTATCTAAGGCAACAGCGGTAGGGTAAAGGCAAAAGGACAGCGGACAGATTTTAGGAGGTAGGATGGCACAGGACTGGTTAGGAGAAAAGGGAAAAATTCAGAATTACCCTCGGGGTTATGGTTTGGACAACAACTGAAATAAGTACATTTCTAAAAAAAAAAAAAAAAGATGAATTTTGAATATATTTAACAGTGACTTACCTGTTGTTCAGTCGCAAGTTAGTTAAGCTAAATCATAGCCTAAATATAAGCTGCATTGTTCTATAGAAAAATAAATTTTTCCCCCAGTATTAGTCTCAGAAATAAGTCATCATTAACATTTAAAGAGAAACGTAAAAGGTTCTAAAGTAAAATTTTCATGACAATATTTCTAATGCAAAAGATAAAATATTTTAAAATATTTTTACAAATACTCTATAAAGATATTTTTTTATTAAGGATAAGAAAAGATAGCAAACCTTTACAGAAATTAACTTTGTAATTAACATTCTTTGAAGAAATATTTTAAACAATGAAAAAATCAGCAGTAAACAAAAATTCAGGTTTAAAATAATGAATGAAACTATGGAAGAAAGTTTTATCACAAAATATTAGGGTATTTTGAAATGACAACAGCCATTCTGCTATTATACTTTTATTTCTATAGATTCACTTTGTGCCTCAAAATGAATTTTGCAAAATAATTTCCTTTTCATCAGTGAAATACCTGTTTACTGTTTAAACTACAATATTAAAGTATAGATTCAAATATTTACTAAACACCTTTATTAACTAGATACAAATAATTTTATTTCTAAAAGTTGAATTCTATTTAGACTCATTAGAATATTTGTATTTAAATACTCCAATGTAATCTATGTGCATTAAGCAAGTAGGAGCTCTTCAAATAAAGAAAAGTCTCATTTGGTTTTATAAATAATAAAGATGATTTAAAATGTAAAAAATTGAGCTAAAAAAAATAGCCCAAACCACCTGTTTTTTAAGTCATACTAGCCATCTACTTCTAAAAAGTCCTATCAAAGCTATTTTTTTAAAACCCAACATTTACTAACTCAACAGATGGGTTTTAAAAATGAGGAAAGTAATTTTACTTTCAATTCACTGATTATGTACTCAACTGGTGTCTTTAAAAAATAATTTTAGCATACATGAAGACTGAATTAAACCATTCTCAACATTTTTCTAGTACTGTTTGCTAACTGGCTTGTTTTTACATACACGCTTTAAACATCTCTTCCCCAGGTAGTACACAAAAATAGTTATTTGCAACTATAAAATCTTTCAAGTAAACTCCCAATGTAATATCACTGCTTTTTCCTTCTCTTATAAGAATCATTACTGTGAGTTCGAACTCGCTGGTACACAGAGGATGCTATTTTCATGTTGTCTTTCTTTGTAAATGTCTTCTCTATTGCTCCAGGTTTCCAAAGTAACAACTGTGCATCTTCTCCTCCAGTTAGCAAAGAATCATCCTGCATATTCCAACAGAAAGAACGGACTGTAGCAGCATGCCCTCCCTGAAGGCTGGTCACATGATTCAATCCTGATGCAGTACAGCTCATTAAGTGAATAATTCCTGTGTTTGTTCCTCCAACAATAAATAATTTGTCCATCTTTTCATGATATAGGCCACCAATCAAATAGTCCAAAATACCTCCTTTAATATTAATTACTTCTCTAACATCCTGGATATTCAAACATGTAACTGGTTCATCAGTATCCAGATTATTAAGATCCCACCAACAAAATCCTTCATCATGTGTCATGCAGTATATCTGTTTATAATCTTTCCCAGACCAACCAATACAGCTAACTGATGAAACTGTGTTACAAGTTGTAACCAGTGCATCTTCTTCATTATCAAGGCTAATATCGAATACATTTACTAGGCCATCTGTTGAACCTGAGACTACCATGTTAGGATTGCTAGGATGGAAACATACTTGAGTGATATCATCACTATGTGTTTCTGAGTATGCCCCAAGTGGGTCTTTAGTAGTAGACAAATCTTGAGAATTAATTCTTGCATCCCAAAATACTAACAATGCATCATCATCAACTTTTTCTGTGCCAGCACAAATGACATGATCATTACAGCTGATATCAAAACTGATAAAAATATTGGAAGGGTAACCCTTGAACAGCTGGACAGGTTTTTCACTGGCTAATCGAGCATCCCAACATTTTACAGTGCTATCTGTACATGACGAATATACAATGTCACAAGAATTTGCAAACTTGACTCCATTAAGAAGTCCAGGATATCCACTAAATTCTCGTAGTACGTTTAACCTTTCTTTATCATATATTCTGATTAATCCATTAGAACATAAAACAGCAGCCAAGCTTCCTTTTTCTGCTTGTACAGTCTTGGATGTGTCTATGCCAAGCAGATAAGTAGGCTCTTCAGTTCCTGAGGAACGCTTAACAATGTTCAGATTAGCAAATTGTTCCTCAATCTTCTCCATATCAGGAGTGGCATCCAAGAGTAGTAAATATCTGTAATAAAAATATAAAAATTGAAATTAAACCCACAGCTTCTCTAAAATTGTAATTAAATCAAGAACATTTCCTTGTGAAGGCTGACATAAAACAACAGAGATAAAAATCTATTTTAATATTGTAATCATTCCCCTACCATGATGTAACTAAAACTAAGTTACCTCCTAATTCACTCTTCAACACCAAATCTACCACATATATCTTATGACAGTAAGAGAATTTAAAAACATGTATATACACTGCTGAGTAATTTGTTTTTAACTCAAACCCAATTATTGGTCCTACTCATTCATAATCATCAGCATTATCCAGGATCTCCACTTTGGATTCATCTACACCTGGTCCCAGCTGCCTTATACAACTTTAGAACCTAAATATAAATGTGTACACAGAAAAATGGTCACTCCAAAGAGGTACATGCCTTAATTCCTGGAACCTGTGAATATGTTGGTTACATAGCAAAGAAGATTTGAAATTGTAGATGGAATTAAGGTTGCTAATCAGTTGACTTTAAAAGGGAGAGATTAGCCCTGGCTAGTGTTGCCCAGTAGGCTGGGCTTCATCCTGCACACCAAAAAGTTGCAGGCTCAATTCCGGTCAGGGCACATACCCAGGTTTGGGCCTCTATCCCCAGGAGGGGCATGCGGGAGGCAGTTGATTGTTGTTTCTCTCTCTCTCTAAAAATCAATTTAAAAAAAAAGATTCTCCCTTTAAAAAAAAATAAAGAGGGAGATTATTCTGGATTATCTTGGTGGGCCCAATGTAAACACCAGTGTCCTTTCAAGTACACGGAGCAGAAGATAAGAGCCAGAGGGAGATGTTACTATGGAAGAAAGGCAGAGAGAGATACACTGCAGGTTTAGTCAAAGGATGTTAGTAAGTGGGTAAGTGTTAATATGAGATTACTAAAAAACACACAATTCTTTGCTACTGCCTCAATTTGATCTCTGCATATGAAAAATCAGACTGGTGAGAATTTTAAACAGTAAGAAAGTTTAATGGGGCTTTTAAGCTAATAGTAATTTATAGGACTATGTGAATTGTTATACCCAAGCAGGACGGTAGTACTATACACTCCTTCCCTCCATTTTGTTGCCTGGAAAGTGTTTCACAGTGGAACAGTCCTGCAAAACTTTAATTCAAGGGTTCTACTGATTGATGAGGCAGGGCCCCAGAACAGAATGTCACAGCAAACTAGCACTTCAAGGCTGTAGCAATGGTAATAATCACGATGGTTGTCCAGGTGACACACTGTTTAAATGAAGTACAGGAAGGAAGGAAGGAAAAAAGGAAGGAAGGGAGGAGATATCAGAGGTAAGGTGGGTATATCCCCCAATACTCTCAAATTATAGACCTTATATTCCTCCACAAATACAGTTTAATCTCTCACGGGGAAACATGAAAACCTCTAGCTTATGTTTAAACACATTAGTATGCAAGTGAGTCATATTTGAACTAAAACTTCCAAGGCTATACAATTCTTTATTTTATATACTAGTGAATCATTTCAAAATGATTAATATACTTTTACTTCTATGTATAGCCCTCATCTGAGTTTTCTTTGCATGATCCACTTCCCAGTGCTCAAGAAAAGCCATAGGTTGTCTTTTCTTCTCACTACACTCTCATGGGGTAACCTCATTCATATTCATGTTTTCAAGTGCTTCCTATATGCCAATGATCTCATTTCTATTTCCAAATCCTATTTCCAAATGTCTAATAGCCATTTCTCCTTGCACATGTCCCACTACACCTCAAAATAAAAGTCATTATGTATGCTTCCCTGGTAAGCCTTCCCCTTAAAAGAATCAGAACAAAAACAAACAAACAAAAAACAATGTAAACATCTCAATTTTTTCCATTTTGGTCAACTTCCAAATCCTACTTTTGGGCTACAGACTTCTTAGAAAAGCATTAGGTTAAATATGTTTCTGCGGCTCAAAACAATAGTGACAACCTCATATGGTTCAACCTAACAAAAACCTATGAAGAGAGCAAATAAGATTAATCATAATTTTATCTTTTCTTTTTGTTTGTCAGATGCATAAAAGGAAGCTTAGTTAGCATTCTAGATCTCAACAGACTAGTGAGAGATGAGGACATGGAGAGAGCCCTTCTTATATCAATACATACACACACACACACACACACACACACAAATTAAAGAGTGCAAAAAGATATGGACAGAAAAGGATAATAAAGCAGAGTAGAGAGGAGAAAAGAGAAATGAAAATAATCTAAGAGAAAAGAGAAAGGAATGAATAAAAAAAAAGAGGAAATTACTGCCACTACCTCCTTAATCATGTGGGTGAAACACTGCATCTTTTACTGTCCCTAACACAGAGATGAGACAATGAGAAGCGGTCCAGATAAAGGAAGTTCAGTCAAGTATAAAGCTATGAGAGTTTGCTCCACTAAAAGTAATTTTTCTTCATGGGGTAATTTTCACTCCATGAGAGTGAAGAAAAATTCCTTTATTTCTTTAAAATAAAGTCCTTGTCCTTGAGTTAGAGAATGTACCAAGCAATCATAAGCAATTTAAATATAAACCCAATTGTTCTGAGAATGGAGGCAGAAAAATAACGATGATCTCATCTTGACCCACCTAGTACAGAACAGGAACTAGCAGAACCACAAGCAGCAGCCTGGCACTGAGCCACTATTGCTGCTGTGGTTCTTACAGGGAGACACAATTCTCATGTCTGAATATAATGCAGGTGTAAAATGTCAGAAAGACACCCCAAAACAAACACTATAGGGTAAGCTTCAAGGGTGCGAGAATATTATATTCTTGGTGAACTGCCACTTTGCAATATGCTAGGTGGGACTTGGTAACTAATCTTTTATCTGAATAACTGTCCCTATTTAATTACAAGTTGATTATTTAATAACAAATCCCTAAACATAATTATGAATTCCTCTTGTGGCTTTGGCCTTAATAAGATTTAAGTTACTTTTATCAATCAGAATCTCTTATTTATTTCCTATTAAACACAGTAAAACACGTTCTGAGTGCATCTAGCTGCAACTGAGTATTGCTCTTATTGCTGAATTGGCTAAGTTTGAATATGAAATCTGAAGGACAGCCTAGCTTAAATAATTCCATAATGGATAAGGAAGTAGCTTTTCATCCCATATAAACAAGGGACAAAAAAGAATTAAAAGAAAATAACATATATTTTACACTTAATTAGAAACTGATTACAAAAGGCACAATACTAAAAGTCTTCTACATATTATTTTATAAAATCAGAAATGAGCAGTATCCTTAGAATTAGATATATTTCTATTTTTCAGGTATGAATGTTCACCATACTTGAAAGAGTTAACAGCATAAGCATCATATGCTATTATATTTTCTAACTAGTGAGACAATTTATTAGACTTGGGCCAAAAACCTAATTCCCCACAACCAGACTTAATATTGCCCATTGACTATAAGGAACTAGCTGATGATGACTGTGAAATGCAGAGGTCCATCAAATGTCCCAAATGTAGGGAGATGGTTAATGGGAAAAGTCATTCAGGAATGGGCTCTAATAACTTCACAATCCACACTTATAATTCAACTATAATAATGCTACCACATCTATCAAATTAGGCTAGGATAATTGAGCCTCACAAAGAATAAAATAACCATAATTGGAGCTCAACAAATGCTAGACTGTATGCTAGAAACTTACATTTAATTTTTTTATCCTAATCATTTAACCCTATGAGATAGGTATTATTATCCCCCTTTTACAGAGGAGATTGCAGCTCAGAGAAACTGAGTAACTTGCCAGCGATCTGAGAGCTACTAATGGGAGGACACAGGGGAGTCCAGTGTGAAACCCCAGCTGTAACTTCAAAACCTGTGAGCCTGTGTTCACTCCAATACCATGCTATTGCTCTTGTATGTAAGTACTGAAGTATTAGTGTCAACTTTCATTAAGGCATATGAGGCTTTGAGAGGAGAATTACATGTTAATTCTACATATAATCAGAGAAAGGAGCAGGATAATTAAAAAACAAAAACCAACCTAGAAAAATGTTTCCATAAGCAACCATCACTCTTAATTTTCTTATGCCCCACTTCGTTTTTATTAAATTTTTTATTATGAAATTTGTATGAAGCAGAAAATAGTAAAAGAAACCCCCATACACCCATCATCCAGCACGAACAATTATATTCCACAAAAGACAGAGGGGCTAGTTATACATCACATTTCATTTGAAGGGCAATTAAGAAACTCTAGTGGAGCCCGGCTGTGCGAGGTTCAGCGGTTGAGCATCAACCTAGGACCCAGGAGACTGAGGTTTGATTCCCAGTCAGGGCACATGCCCAGGTTGTGGGCTCCATCCCCAATCAGGGGTGTGCAGGAGGCAGCCGATCAATGACGACTCTCTCATCTTTAATGTTTCTCTCTCTCTCTCCCCCTTTCCCTTCCTCTCTCTGAAATCAATAAAGATACATGGGAAAAAAAACCTCTAGTGGACAGTGTGATGAAACCCCTCCAACTCATTCCCCTCTCCCCACTCCATGTGGCATAAACAAAATTTAAGGACTTGACCCCAGCTCCAAGGGCAGACCCTGATTAGCCTAAACCAATCACAGTACAAGGTTCCATCCCTTGTAACCAGTAATTTGGTTTAGAAACCTTACATTTTTGCTAATCCATGCATGTATTCCCCTCCCAACTACAATTTGTTCATATGTGGAACATTAATTCTAAACTGGACCCAATCCAACTAATGGAAAGAACTTTTTACCATGGTTATGAAATTCTGAATTTTCTATTTAAGTCAGTTTGTAGAAACTTTTGTTAATGCAGCCAGAACCACCCTAACTAATTAGAGATAATCAAGAAAAGTACTTGGATATATCATCAAGTACTGACTTAATGATACAATATTTTAAAACTTAATCTGAAATGCAATCTAGCAAGTTTCTGTATATTTTTTAAATGCATTTATATTTTTTAATATAGTCACATGGTTCAAAGTTCAAAAGATTC